AGGTACCAAGTATCAACATGTGTCAAGAACAAGAAAAATGTCCTTTTGCCTTGATCAGCAATTCTATTTGGGGAAATCTATCCTCAGGGACTAGCCTGGGGCCTGGCATACAGTAGGCACTCAACAAATATTTGTTGAATATACAAACACTTAATGATATTTTAAAAACTGGCAACAATCTGATACCTAACAATAGAGGAATTAATTATTATGGGGCCATTAAATAAGATGCTTATGAATATCATGTAGGAAAATAGAAAATATGAGTATGCTATAATCTTAAATGAAAAAAATGGGTATTAAATGTATGATAAGGTTGTAATTATTTGTAAAAAGATTCATAGCAAAAAAGACAAAGAAAAATATGTACTGAAGTGTTCACAGTAGTTACAGAATTTCTCAACCTTGGCACTATGGATATTTTAGGCCAGATGTGTCTTGCCCTGGGCATTGTAGGGTGTTTAGCAGTATCCCTGGCCTATACCACTAGATACTAGTAGCAACCCTCTCCCCCAACCCCCTGCAAATCCATTTTGACAACCAAAATGTTTCTAGGCATTACCAAATGCTCCCTGGATGACAGATGGAATAGTGGGTTATTTCCCCCTTCCTTTCATATTTTCTTTATTGTGGTTTTTATAATGAAGAAAAACAAAAATAAATGTCATTATTCTACCTCAATCAGATATTTGAACTCTGTTTCTGGGGCTCTTTACACTATTCCACTTAGTCTACCATGCACTGCAGTTTTGCAAAGTGAAATGATTCACTAAATTTTTTAAAAATTTTTTCTGATAATAATAGTAAAAAACCTTCATTTGTGTGAAAATTTGAACACAAAAAAACATCAAAGGAATCAATCACAACCTCATCTCACTTTCCTTTCTATCTTTTCTTCTTTTCTTCCTTTTAAAAACTATAAAGGAGTAAAACTTGCCTGTTCTCCCTCTAATGTCACTCCTAGAGATAATCACTGTCAGCATTGTGGACATTTCCTATGTCTAAAGATACACACGTATACTTTTTCTTTTTTTAAACAAAAGTGGATTTCTGCTACATATAGTGCTTGCAACTCACTTTCTTCATCTTTGCAAAATCAATACATACACAGGTACAGAATTCAGTCCTTAATGGTATTAAATTGTATGAATATACCAAAGTTTATTTAACCATTTAGGCTGTTTAGGGTATTCCCAGTTTGGGGCTACTATTAGCAATGCCATTTCTTTACATATATTGTTATATGTGTGTGTATTTGTTTTTATAGGATAGATTTCTAGGAGAGGGAGTAAAAGGTCATCTGACACGTACATTTAAGATTTTAACAGAGATGACCAAATTGCCCTCCAGAAAAATGTCAACTTCACATTTCTGCCATAGGCAAGAAGGCCTATTTGTCCACATCCTCACAAACCCTAAATATTAGGAATATTTATAACTTTGATCAAGCTAATAAGTGAAAAATGGTGTCTCATATCTTAAATACATACTTTTTTATTGGTGAAATTGAGCATCCTCTGTTTATATGCCATTTGTAGCTCTTATTTTCTGAATTGTATGTTAGAGTCTTGTTCATTTTTCTCTTGGGTTATATGCAGTTTTATTGCTTTTTAGGAGCTGATTATATATTAGGATCATTAATCTTCTGCCTCACATATGTGCAACATTGATTAATTGGTCATTTGTGAGTTTATGTATATGTACAGAGGTTGGAGAGACACTAAGAGGGAAAATTTTTTATCAAACTGTGTAAATATATGTATAACATAAGAGAGAGAAAATATGTTAATAATTAAACAGATTAGCTGAAATACAGTACGAAACTTCTTTTACTCCCCTACTTGAATATAAACTCTAAGAATGACTTCCTTTCCTGCTCACTGCTGTATCCCCAGTGGCTAAAATAGTGCATGGCATAGAAGAGGTGCTCAATCAATGTTTGCTGAGTGAAAAAGTAGTAAAATTTCAGGCAGGATGAGAAAATGAAAAATAGAATCTAGGCAGATATCTCGGGAAGAGTGGCCATAAGTCATTCATGTCTTAGTATGAACTGGTCAAAACCAACTCTCTCTCCTTCCCATTCCCCCTGTTACTAGTTGAATCTGTTCACAGAGGGAATAGGATTTATAATTTGGAATAAATGAGAAGCAGAAGAGGAAATTTTGAAGGATGGCACCTGAGGGAGAACTGGCATGGTTGGGATAATGAAGTGGAAGTCTTCAATAGCTAAAGGGTAGATTGAAAGTATTCACAGTAAAGGGGGAAAGAGCACTGAAAGGTTGGAGAACTGGAAATCATATTCTCCTTGCTTTGAAATTTTGCATAGGTGAGGTTTGAATTTCTAGATAAATTGCAATGCATAAAAAAACATGAAATAGTTGAGAGGATTTTGGTGTGATATTTTCTCCCTGGCTTCTTTTGAATGTGCAGTACAAGTAATTAAATTTAAAAATTCTCATCATAGTGACTTTTTTTCACTTGACTTTTTTTTTTTTTTTTTTTTTTTTTTTTTTTACTGACCGGTAATGGG